GTTAAGGGCGCCAAGACGTCGATATGGCCCGAGTCGGACCCTGCGGGAAGTCGCGTGCTGCATCCGCCTCACCTGCAGTAGGTAGTGACGGCCACGGCAACCTTGGGCGGAGTCTGGTAAGGGGCATCTGGGAAGTCTCTGGAGCCAGGGTAACCGAAAAATCTCAAGACTCGCTGAGTGACCCGACGCTGTCACTTGCCCTTCTGCCGAGCGAGAGCTTTTCCACCCAGAGACGTTGCCACCCGGCACTTCCTATACGTGTTGCAACCCTCATTCTACCTCTCCAGAAATAACCATAACCTTGCTGCCTACTGAGGCTGTTTACTGAGGGTCCACTGAATGCCAAGCGCTGCGCATGATTAGCTTGATTCTTACAACAGTTCTGCAAGGTAAGTTCTCGTTTTACAAACGTGGAAATGCAGAGATTCAGTGTGGTTCAGTGACTTGTACAGGATCCGGCATTTAGAAAGCAGTCCCTCCAATCTAAGGCTGTTTTTCAAGGCTCCCCACTGCTGTCCTCTGACCCCACCCTGCGCCCAGACTGCTTGCTCAAGGGAGGTAAGTACTGAAGCTGACCTCTTTGCCCTTGTCCCTTCTCAATCTCTAGGACAATGCTTGACACATAGTAGGCTCTCAGTGTTTATTGGATGCATGCATAAATGAATGAATCTACACTATTCCAAAAGGTGAGGATTACAACCTCCTGAGTTGAGGAAGTGGAGCTGAGATTAATTCTCTTTGTTTTCAGCTTTATTGAGGTATAATTGACAAAATTGTAGGAATTAATTCCTGATTCTTTCAATTCATTCCACTTGCTGATCTTTGTAAAGTCTGAATATGAGCATGTCAGTCTCAGTTTAAAGCCTTTAAGGGGTTAAATACCAAATAGCAGCCCTCTGTAATCTGACTTCAGCCTCTTTCTCTTTCTGCTCAGGCTTTCTGTGTTTCAGCCACTATGGGCTCTCAGTTCCTCTTCCGTCTTATCCTCAAGGAATCCTTTCCTGATTCCCTAGACTAGATTAGGAATCTGTCTTACACTTGCAGAGTACCCAGTGCTTCTGGACAGCATGCTATCATGTTTGCAATCTGTATTTGCTTGGGTGATAATTGGGTTAATGTCTGTCTCCCCCACTAGACTGCATGCCCCATGAGGGGCGATGAAAATCATGATCTCCAGGACCTGATATGTGGCAGTTGTGGAGTAAATGCTTGCTGAGTGACTAATTTTCCCGGCACCCAAAAATAAGGTGATCATCTGAGAGTGACTTAGTAAGACTCAGATATCAACCTGTGAGTCCCACCATTGTAGAAATACCCCATTCCGGAAAGTAGAGGCTACAGAGCAGTGGGAATACCAAAACTAGTCAAGTGACTGGAGTGTGGTCCCTTGACTGTTGGCTCTTTCTGTCCAAGAAAGGGTTGGTCTTCAGTTAGTTAAAGGTAAAGAGCAAGAAGCTGTCACAGTTTCTCCTGTGCTAAACTGAGGAGAGGGAGTGCTGGGCAGCCAAGGTGAATCCCTGGACTTGTTGGTGAGACTCTCACTTCATGGTGAAGCTATGGGAATTGGCTATGTGCCGTGGTGACCAGCTATGATCTAGATCTCCCAGCCACCTCACTTGACTGAACCCTTCTTTATTGAACAACCTTTTGATTATAATTTTGCTTCCTGGTAGATTTCTGTATGGAGGAGGGGCTGTACCAACCAGCCAATAAGAACATTTTGTGCCATTTGGTATGATTCTCATTATAAATTACTGAGTCACCCAGCCATCCCTGGTGAGACTGGTTAGCTGATTGTCCTTCCTGTGCCTGATCAACCCTTGAAATAGTGATGAAACTGGCTGACTTAAAAATAGCTTCTAGTGCTGCTTGTTATAAAATTATTTTGTTTCTTGATTGGATCTTGTACAAGTTTGCTCACTGATCATATTTTGTCAATGCTTGGATTTTGAATTCCACCTTTTTTGTTTGTTTTTTTCCCAAGACATTTTTTTCCCTGCTTGTGATATTATTTTCCTCTTCCTGTTTTCCTTGAGACATTAGATAGGATGGCCACATGAAGTTTCTCTGAGGCAGTGACATTTGATCTGAGACCTGAAGGAGCCAGCCATAAGAAGAAAATCTGGGACAAGGGTATTTTTGGCCAAAAGAACAGAAAGCTCCAAGGTCCTGAAGAGAAACAAGTTTAGGAAGAGGGAGGAGCAGAATAGGCAAGGGGAAGAGGGGTATGAGAAGAGGTGAGAGAGGGAGGCACAGCTAAGCCTTGAGAGCCCAGAGGCCAAGATGAGGAGACTTTGTTCTAGAGGTTCAAGGTCACATCACTAGTGAATGGTAGAACTACAATTCAGACACCTTGTCAGCCTCCAAAACTTAATCTCTCACCTTTCTCCCAGGATGATACCCACTGCACAGGCTTATTGTGAAAGTCACCTAAGCAGATTTGGAAAGCCCCCAGCCCATAGCTGGCATGATAAAGATATGCAACTAGTGGTCCCTTTCTCTTCTTACAAAGATTCTGTCGTGTCAGTGGTCACCATGATTTGTCACTTAAGTATTCCTCTTTATTCCTAGGTAATACTCTTTGCCTCCTAGTTCACTTTAACTTAATTACAACTGTACCTACTTTCAATTGATTCTGTCGACCAGTATGTCTTTACTCATATTTTTAGTCTTTTGGTGTCACCTTGGTCCTGGGTCCTTGGTCCCTCCCCCTGGGTTTTAATGTTATTCCAAATTTGTACCCAGCCCAGACCTTACCCTTGACCTCCAGGTTTGACTATCCAGCTGCTGACACCACTTCTCTTGGATACCCAGGCTACATCTCAAACTCAAGAATCAAAACTGACCTCTTGATCTCTCTCTTCCTCTAGTCACCCTATCGCCACCCCACCTCCCCAGCCTCCTCACCTCTGTAAATGCCACTGCCGCACCTGTTTCCTGGAGCTGAGTTGCTCCCAGTTCTTCCCTTTCCGTTAGTCCCCAGAGTCAGCATGTCAGCAGGCCCTGTTAGTTCAGGCTTCAACATACCCCCAGCTCCTCTCTCTCTCTATTGCCATCTGTGTTGTCCAGTCACCCTCATCCCTCACCTGGCCTTCAGAGAGGCCTCCAAAATGGTCTCTGCTTCCCCTTTGCTCCCCCTACAATCCTCTTTCCACACAACAGTTAGGAAAGGTTTATAAAATACCAGACGATCCTCATGCTTAGAACCTGCCAGTGATTTCTTACTGTTTAGAATAAAATCCATCTCCTGGGAGGAGGGTATAGCTCAGTGGTGGAGCATCTGCTTAGCATGCACAAGGTCCTGGGTTCAGTTCCTAGTACTGCCATTTAATTAATTAATTAGTTAATTAATTAATTAAAAATTCCATCTGCTGACCAAGGCCCTGCAGCTAATCTGGCCTCCCCCTCCAGCTTCATCTGGGGCCCTCATCTCCCCTTTGTCGGCCATGCTTCAGTAACACTGGCTTGTTTTCTGTTCCTTGAACAGGCCGAGCACCTGCCCAACTCAGGGCCTTGGACTTGCAGTTTTCTTTGCCTAGAGCACACTTTCCTCAGCTCTTCACTGGGGGCCTCTTCTCATCCTTCATATCTCAGCTCAGCTGTCATCTCAGAGCCCTGCCCCGCCCTCCTGTAGATGTAGGATGCCCTGATCCCCCTCCTCTGTTGTATCACTTGTTTATTTCCCACCAAATGCTATCACCATGGGGAGTCAATGTGTTCCTCTTGCTTATCATCTGACTCCACCCCAGGATGTAAGTGCCATGAGGATAGGGACTTTGTTCTCCTTATTTGTGACCGTGTCCTCATTGCCTCATACACAGCATTACTCCGTAAGTACTTGGGTTTTGTGGCTTGGCTGAACATGGAGCAGGGTGCCTGGAAGACGTGCCCCCAGAATGTCAGCAGTAAGGATGAGATAGGCATTGAACCTGAATAAATTAATGAATGAATGAGAGAGTAAGTGAATACTGTCTTAAGTTTAGCTCAGCAAATTATTGGATTTCTGAAATCTATTTTGAGACTCACTTAAAATTTTTTTTAACTGTGGTAAAATTATATAATATAAAATTTACCATCTTGACCTTTTTAAAATTGTGGTTAAAAAACACTTAGTGTAAAATTTAACACTGTAACCATTTCTAAGTGTATAGTTCCATAGTGTTAAGTATATTCAAACTGTCTGGTAGCCAATCTCCAGAACTCTTTTCATCTTGGAAAACTGAAACTCTAGACCCATTAGTCAATAAACAATTCCTCAGTCTCACCTCCCCACGACCCCTGGGAACCACCATTCTACTTTCTGTCTCTATGAATTTGACCACTCTAGGTACCTTATATAAGTGGAATCATACAATTTTTGTCCTTTTATGGCTGATTTCATTTGGCATGATATCCCCAAGGTTCATCCATGTTACAGCGTATGTCTGCATTTCCTTCCTCTTTAAGGCTGAGTTATATTCCATTGTCTGTATATACCACATTTTGTTTATCCATTCTTTTGTTGGACACTTGGGTTATTTCCACCTTTTGGCTATTATGAATAATGCTGCTATGAGCATGGATGTACAGATATCTCTTTGATACACTGCTTTTAATTCTTTTGGAAGAACTATTTCTAAGTGTATAGGTCAGTAGTGTTAAGTATTTTCACATTGTTTCACATTGTTTCACACAATCTCTCGAGCTTTTTCATCTTACAAACTAAAACTCTGTACCCATTAAACTCAGCCTGACTTTTAATATGTCATTTTGTATGTTTTGTATTTTATTAATGTGAAGTTTCTGGACAAGCAGAGCTGAGGATACCAAAACTTGTTCTGAAGCGACTATTGAGGTAAACCTTGTTCTGAAGTCCTATCTGGGCCAACAGCAGGCCGTCTCCCTGACACCTCTGGGTCTGCAGGGCTCCCAGGGCCCAGTGGAAGATGAAGACAGGCATAGATTTCTACCTTAAAGGATTGACCCAGGGCACTTATGCACACATTGGGACATCCTCACCCAAATGATTCTAAGCATGGCCATTTGGAATCACTACCCAACAGTGGAAAAGCTATTCTCACAAAAGGAGTAGTCAGCTTTGAAACCCTGGCCATCCTCATGTACTGGAACACTGGTACAGTTTCCTGGAGGGCAGCTTGACCTGAGCCATGAGCCTACTCTGACCCAGCGATCTACTAAGGTTTTATTTTAAAAGAAAATAAAAACATCCGCAAAGATAGATGCATAGGATGTTCATCACAACATTGTGTATAATAGTATAAAATTGGCAACAACCTAAATGTACAAGTTAAACGTTGGTTAAAAAATCAAGATCCATCTACATGTGAAATTGAGGTTAAACGTAAATTGTGATTTTCCCCTAGGCGTTGGATAAGGTTGTATTTTATCTTTATTTTTTTCCTCCACTAGGAAAGTTTACTCAATATATATAATTTATAGAAATAAAACAATTTTGATTTATATTTTTAATTCAGCAAAAAAGTATGCTAATCTGCAGGTGAGTGAATTATGAGTGATTTCTGTATTTTCGTAATATTTTACCAAAGGCATGTATTAACTTTTTGTAATCAGAACAAAAAGTAAAGATTATTTGAAAATAAAAATAAAATCTCTGGAAATGGGATATCATCATGCATTTTTCGCCTCTTATGATTGTTTCAGGTCAGCCCCATGGCTATTTCACATGATTCAAATGAAACTTCCTATTTGCTACCTCCAAACACTGAGGACTGGGAAGGACACAACATTCCTGACTTTGTCTATGGGCAGAAGGAACTTGTGACAGAAGGGATTCAGTGGCCGAGGAACACACCCAGCCTCCCAGACACACTGCCACTGTCTCGCTTCGACTCTGCACTCTGCACGGCCTGGAGGCAGCGGATGGAACTGGGGCTGTTCCGTTACCACCTAGGGGAGCTGCAGACCCGAACCCTCCCTGGTGCTGTGGGTTTTGTGGCTCAGCTGAATGTGGAGCGAGGTGTGCAGAGAAGGCGCCCCCAGAACATCAGGAGTGTGAGGCAGGCGTTTGACCCTGAACAGTTTAACTTCAATAAGATCCGGCCAGGAGAAGTCCTCTTCCATTTGCACCGGGAACCCGATCTCCCTGGTGTGCTCCAGCAAGAGGATATCCTTGTGGTGATCAACGTCAGCCCCCTGGAGTGGGGCCACGTGCTGCTGGTGCCTGAGCCCACCCGAGGGCTCCCCCAGCGCCTGCTGCCAGGGGCACTGCGGGCTGGGGTTGAGGCCGTGCTACTGAGCTCACACCCGGGCTTCCGCGTTGGCTTCAACAGCCTAGGTGGCCTGGCCTCGGTGAACCATCTCCACCTGCATGGCTATTACCTGGCGCACAGACTGCCTGTGGAGGGGGCCCCCAGCAAACCCCTGGACCCTGGGGGCCGTCTGCATCTGCTCCAGGCCCTCCCAGCTCCTGGCTTTCTTTTTTACACTAGCAGCCCAGGACCTGACTTGGAAGCCTTGATAAGCAGGGTCTGTCGGGCCACTGACTATCTGACTGACCACGAGATTGCACATAACTTGTTTGTGACCCGGGGGGGCCCACCTGGAAAGACATCGTCTTCCTCAGCCCTTACAGGGGTCCGAATAATTCTGTGGGCCCGGAAGCCCAGCTTTGGAGTAAAGGAAGGCGAGGCGTTCAATGTTGCCCTCTGTGAGCTGGCCGGGCACCTCCCTGTCAAAATGTCCCAGGACTTTAGCAGCCTAACAGAGGCAGCCGCTCTGGCTCTCATCCGAGACTGTCTGCTGCCCCCAGCCCAGGCAGAAGAGGTACAGGCAGCACTGGTAGCCTTGACAGCCCAGGAGGAGCAGTAATCCTTCCAGAAGTATTTATTTTGTAACTGAGCTAAGTCTTTTCTAGAGAGCTGTCCCTCATGGTCATGTGGCCACTTTCACGAATGCCTTCTCACGTGTCTCAGCCTAAGGGGAGGGATAAAGAACTGGTAAGTCATCTCTTTAAAGAGGAGAAACCTGGGAATAAATCGAATGAATGAGCCCTCGTGGATGTATCTGCTGCTTTTCACCTTTCTTCTTAGACAAGCCCTAGGGATGTCAAACCTATAGTTATGAAGGGAGTGTGTTCAAGAGTTACACACTCCTGACTTTATATGTGCAGACTTTTCCTTTTGTATCAAGTCTTAGCAAAGTGATAGTTTAATCACTTCCTCTGTTCTTGCCTCTCTGCTCGGTCTTCCTTTGCCCCCCACTGAGTTTTATTTCTTCATCCTATCCCTCCACCCGATTTGGCTCCCCCATCCATTTGCCCCTGTTGTAGCACATTCTTCGCCACCTAGCCACCTTGAATTTTCCTACATCCCCAACGCTGAGCTGAATGTTCTCATTTCATGTGAAAACAAGGTGTCCTCACAACTTGAAAGTTGCAGGTCCTCTTAATACCCCCATTTAATAGGTGAAGAGAACAGGTTTAACAGATGACAGAGGTTTAGTAACCTGTCCAAGTAGCTCAAAAGTAGTGCAGTCAGGACTGCAGCACAGGGCAGTCAGACACCAGAAGCTGCTGGGGCTGTGCACGTGCGACCGACTGCCAGTTAATAAAGTCTCACTGAGATAAGGCAGAATATGCATCACAACCCATTTCATAAGAAAAAGTTTAAAATTTAAACTCCTATAAAGAATTTTTGGTCACCTTCATGTTTTTGGCAGTGATTTTAGCTTAATGCCTCTTTCTGCAAGGCCTTACCTTGCAGGCTCCAATAACATCACTTTATTTTGCTTGCTCTCTCTCTGAAGGTAGTGCAGATGACCATTACAGCAAAAGTGGACTTTGTGTCCAAGGTGATGAGCCCAAATACGAGGATTTTCCAGTTTTTCCCTAGGGCTGATGTTTAGAGGAAAGCATTCTCCAGCAAAAACTAAGTTTTTCCATAAAAAATTTTAAAAAGTCAAGTAGGTTTTCTTTATGGTGGTACTTCTCAGCCACATATACTTTGCGAATCATCAAGAAGGGGATTTAGATGGAAGCTTTTTCTAAGTTTGAATATGGAACACTTAGGAGGCCCTTTGTACTCAGAGCCCTGAGCTTTGAGCACAGTAGGAAGATAAGAAGGGATAATCCAGCCCAGGGCCTCTCCACCTCTTTGCTTGCTTTTTAATGGAGGGTCTCTGGTACTAAGGGGTTTTGGACTTGATCTAATGGGAAACTTTGAGAGTTTTAGGGAGGAGGATATAGCTCAGTGGTAGAGTGCATGCCTAGCATGCATGAGGTCCTGGGTTCAATTACCAGTACCTCTACTAAATAAATAAACCTAATTACCTCCCTCCGTTAAAAGAAAAGTTTTAAATTGGGGAGCAGCAAATTTACATTTTAGAAAGGATACTTAAGCTGCAGTGAATGGATGCAGCAGGGAAGAACAGAATCAGGGAATCCAGTTAAGAGGTTGATGAATGATGAAAATTCAGGCAAGAAATGACGGGTCAGGTACTAGAACAGTGCCTGGAACACTACTTGAAAGAGTAAGAAAAACGTGTGTCCTGGAAGGTAAGGGACTTCGAAGCATCTCTAGGAGAGGGTAACAGAGATGATGTCTTTCCAGGTGCCCCTCCCCCATCCTCGGGTCACAAACAAGTTAAAAAAGTCTGTGAATCAAAAATGACCGTGTCTTTTTAAAGGAGGGAAAAATTTTAAGTGTCGTCTAGATTTAGGCACGTGGGATGAACTTAAAATGACAAATTGGGCTGGGTTTGGTAGAGGTGGTGATCAGAAGTCAAAGTGGCTGGACGTCAGGAAGAGACCACAGTGAAGTTTGATGAGCACCTTGAGGGCATGGGTACTAATCACGGCCGTCCCTCGTAAGTGCTGAGACTGTGCTCAAGACATGGTAACTTAAAAAAATGAAGAAAGGCAAGCAGATATTTGTCCCGAGCACTGACTTGGCCAAATCCGGTGCTTGGCCTGTGGGTTCAAGGAAAGGATCTGGGTAGGGCTTGAGCGAACCGGCGTGACAGCGGAAGGCCTGCAAGTTCCATTATGCATCCAGTCAGCTACAACAGGAATTCGGCCTCGCGGGCCGCGGGCTTGATTCCACCGCCAGCCCCTGCCCAAGATGGCCTCGGCGGGCGCCCAGGTGGGTGTGGTTTTCGGGGAGGCCCCGCCCCAGAACGCTGCTCTAATGGGAGCCTTCTCGTGTCCATGGCGACGGCGGCGGCGGCGGCTGCCGCCTTGGAGAAGGAGGTGCCGCCGCCGCCGCCGGGATCTCCGAGCTAGGCACGAACCCCGGGCGCAGTGGGGAGCGGGCTCCCCCTCGCGATTGGCCGGGACAACCAGTCCTGTGGAACAAGGAGGCGGCTCCGGAGGACCAGCAACGCCCAAGAAGGAGCAAGAGCCAGCTGAAGGGCGGACATGAACGACCAGCTGAGTCCAGCACCGGGCCGATAGGGGCAGATCCAGCAGCTCCTCCTCTTCGGAACCTCGGGTGGGCAGTGTCTGTCGGGGGCTCCCCCTTTGCTCTCAGAGCCCAAGGGGTCTTGGCCGTTGGGTGCCTGGCCCCAGTGCATATAGAGAAACTGAGTCATGGGACAGGGAAAAAGGCTGGCCTAGGCGATCTTTGGTCCCCAGCTCTGTTTTAAAAGCAAAGCACCCCCTCCCCGCCCCAGCGCCCCCAGCCATCCACCATCACATGGAAGAATAAAAAAAGCTATGGTCATGGTCGCTGCCAGCTCAGATCAGCCCCTGAATGCTTCCTAGAATGTTATTTGGAGTGATCTTGGATGATGGGGGCTTGTCAGCGAATCCAACATCTCACAGGCAAACCACAGACCCCATTACCTACTTGGAAACATCGCATTCTGTAGTGGGACTGTTCTGTTCTGAAGGAGCAGCAACATTCCTTATAACACAATGAAGGTCCTTAGCTGGATTTCTGCAGGCCTTCCCGGGACTGGCGGGAGGCCTGACATCATACATACATACATACATACATACATACATACATACATACATATGGGAGGTCTGACATCTATATATATATATTTCACTCCCACCCCTCTCCCTTCAGAATCTAAAAGGATGGAGCCAAGTACCTGTAAGACCAGTGAGTCAGAGGAAGACTATGTTGAAGAGGAGGGATCTGAGGAGGAATGTGTTAAAGGGGAAGGTACCACCCCTTCTAACCCTTCTCATCAGGCACTCTCAAAAGCAGACTGCAATGCATTTATGAATGGAGTTGCCTTATCCGTTGTAGCCAAGAAAATACCAAAGAAAGTCATAACCGCAGCTGACCCAGATGACTTAGAAGTTGGGAGGAGAAAGAAAAGGCGGAAACACAGGTAATGGTTCCCTGGACCCCCTCACTTGCTTAGCTCCAGAGTCATCTCCTGCCCTTCAACAGTTGGGATCCAAGGTCTTCCCTTTAGCCTAGGAAAGAGGACAGGGCATACAGTAGATCATTAACCTTTTGATACTACAAAAACAAAGAAAATTCAGAACAATTTGGGCTTGTCTAGTTTAGAATTTCAGCAAGTTGATATCATCTTGGCCTTTCCTTTGAATGGCTTCTAGAGAAAATGAATTGCACTGTGCATTTGTTGGGTGTCTCTTTATTGGGGTGCCTGGCAGCCCAGGGTCTATCCTTCTCTTCCACTCTGCCTGATTTTTGCTCTGCCTCCATTCCAGACCCTTGGCCATCAACCTGACCAACTGCAAATATGAGAGTGGTAAGCACCCAGCTCGTCACTCACACCACTGGGCATAAGAGGGCACTTAGGGCTGTGGCTTTCACCCTGGAGATGGTCCTCCAAGCTGCTCCCAGCCCCCAGATCTTGTTAGGCTGAGGCTGGTCTATAACCTGTACTGAGCCTCCTGGCTCAGCTACAGGCAGTTGAGACATCATAGTTCGAGTTTGTCTCAGTGGCAGGGCGGGAATCTCCACAGTTGGCTAACAACAACAAGAGAATAACTGAGGGTCATCATTGCTCCACCGTTCCTAGATTTTACCAGAGATAAGATGAAACCAGGTTAAAACTGTTTTTTCAACTCAGATTTTGAGGGCGCTTCAGCAATTAAAAAAAAAAATCACCAGTTAGGTCAGTCATTTCTAACTCCCCTTATCCCCCCAACCCAGGCATCATACAAGGGGCCCCCCAGAGTGTGAGGCGCCAGTGTGACCCCTACTAAGGGTCAGCTCTATGGGTCAGAAACTATCCTAATTGAGATAGAAGACTGACAAGGACAGGGAGCCAGGCTCTAGTTTTCTGTCACAGATTTTGGAAGGGCCCTGACAGCCTCATGAGCTTGGAACTGTCACATGGTAACTAGAGTGCAGAGCTGAGGTAAAAACTATCCCCCTCTCCAACCCACTCTCTGGTCAGGTCTGTTCCTGACCCGACCCAGCTACAGTCCGAGAGCTTGTTGCCAGTGCCCAGGCTGGCTCCACTGACTTCCCTCTCTCCACAGTGCGTCGAGCAGCCCAAATGTGTGGCCTGAAAGAGGTGGGGGAGGATGAAGAGTGGACAGTGTACTGGACAGACTGCTCTGTTTCACTGGAACGAGTCATGGACATGAAGAGGTTTCAGGTACAACCTCCCCACCCCAGACCCTAAAGGGACTACCGCTCCAGAATGACGACTCGTATCCTTCTGCCCAGGCACCTGAGGCTGCCACTCTGGGTGGCTGTACCCTTGTGTAGAGTAGGAGAGATCATAGCCAGGGGCTTCTAAACCAATGGAAATATTCTCCTCTTGGGCCTCTGGTACTTTTGTTATCTGAAGGAAGTGTCTGCTGGGCACATTCTATCTCAATATTTGCCACTTACCTGGAAGCATCTGTGCTCAGCTGGCACTCTCCAGGGCAGGTGAGCCTATCCTAGGGGGAAGACTGGGAGGCAGCTCAGAGCTAACAGTAGAGCCAGCTAAATGATCCAGCCTTCTAAGCAGCTCAGCCTAGCTTCCACATCCATTAAGAGTCAGTGTGGGGTCCCGCACAGCAGTGAGAAAGTCAGGAAAGATGGACCAGGGTCCACAAGCAGACTATTACTTCTTATTGGTATTTTCGTTACCCTCTGGTCTTTGTAGTGGTTCACAGTAAAATAATTTTAAAATGTCTGCAAGCTTATTTTGAGGTGAAGCTAAGCAGGGAGCTGAGACTGTAATGTGCCCACAAATCATGGGAGAAGATCCAGAGAGAGAGAGAGAGAGAGAGGGAGAGAGACGGCTAGACATACTCAAGAAGCCCCAAAGAAAGGGCAGGCAGGGAACAGTTGTAAGATGAGGGTAACAGTAACAGCATTATTGAGGGTTCATTACACGGCAGACACTGTTAAGTGCTGTTTCATTCTCATGTCAATAAATTCTCAAAAAAATAGCCTTATGAAAAATAAACTTTAAAAAATTTTAAAGATACTCTTATGTTAAGGACACAGGCTCAGGAATACGAGTTCACACAGCTAGTGCGGGGGAAAGCCAGTGCAGGAGCACTGAGCCTCCCAGCACCACGCACTGCAGGCCGAGCAGTGGGGGTTCCACCATGGCAACGCCGTGCCTTCTGGGAGTGCCAGGGCTGCCCATTCCCTGGAGCTGGTTCTTAGTTTCCTTTCTCCTTGGAGAAATGTTTTTGCATTTGCTTTGTGCCAACACACACCAGTTATTCCTACAGGACTGGGCCCTGGTAGTCTGAGGGATGTTACAAGGTGGCTGAAAGGCCCAAAGTCCTGGCTAGCCCTTCTCACTGCCCCTCATTTCCTAACCTTTCTGTGTATGTGTGTTTGGGGGGGAGGCCAATGGGCAGATTCTCACCTACCTTAGGGAACCTTCCTTTGCTCCATTGGGGTACTAGGTGCAGTGTTTACCTCCACTGTGACTTCTGCCTTGACCTTCCCAGTCCTTCTCCACTGGTACCTGGGATGCCCAGGCCCCAGGAACTGCCCTTTACTCTGGTGGGTAGTATAACCAACTGGCTCTGTTTCAGAAAATCAACCACTTCCCTGGCATGACAGAAATCTGCCGCAAAGATCTGCTGGCTCGGAACCTCAACCGCATGCAGAAACTCTATCCTACAGAGTACAACATCTTCCCCCGCACCTGGTGCCTCCCCGCAGAGTGAGTGATACTCCCCAGGTTGAGATACTTGGGGAGGGAAGGGTTCACCAACTCAGTTCTCACCAGACTCTGGCCTTGGGACCTAGAATGTCTTAGATGGATGGAAGTAGGAGAGTTTGAGCTGGTTAAAGAAAAGTAGGTCTCAAACTATTATGTATAAAATAAGCTACAAGAATATATTGTACAACGCAGGGAATATAGCCAGTATTTTATAAGAACTATAAATGGAGCGTAACCTTTACAAATTGTGAATATACTATATTGTATA